CCACTGAGCCACGCCCCCAGCCCCTCACTGGGGGATTCTAGGCAGGGCTCTACCACTGAGCCACGCCCCCAGCCCCTCACTGAGGATTCTAGGCTTTCTACTAAGCTACTTTTCTAACACTTTTTGTGTTTTCTATTTTGAGATCAGCTTCGCTGATTCGTTCCTGCTAGATGTGAACTTCCCGTGTTCTTTCCTCAGCCTCTGGTGTAGCGGAGACTGCAGGTCCGCACTGCCAGGTCTGGCTTTGCTATTATTGTCTCTTAGGTCCCAAACTATGAAGCCCAAGCTTTCCTTGAACTTATATCCTCCTGCCTCAGTGTATCCCAAGTCCTAAGACTTCATTCTATTCTCTCTCATGTAAGGAATGCCTCTACTTGTCCACTGAAGAAAACAGATCCCAAAGCCAGGCTGCCTTGGTGAGAATCCAGCCCCACCACTTTCTGTGTGCACTTGGGAAGGTTGCTTAATACCTCCAGGCCTTGGTTTTCCTTTAAAGAGAAAGACGAGGAGGAAGAGGATGTCACCCCCACCTGTGAAGTTGTGAAGGCTCCAGGCACCACAGTGAGTGTGGGACAAGGGCTCATTGTTGGTGTGAATGACACTCTCAGATGTCAAGAAGATACTAAAACACAGGACAGCAGAAGCAGGTAAAATCTTGTTTGAAATACTCCCCTCTGTCATCATGAGAAGGGGCACAGGAAATATAACACTGCCCACAACTGGATCTTGCCCCAGTGAGGCACTCTTTGAACTGAAGTGGAAGCCTGGGGCTTGGGGGGAGGGGTGAAGGCCCATCAGCCTAGCTTTTGGAAGGTGGAGACAGGTGTTGAGTCAAGTCTGGGCTACACAGCCCTCGAGGAAACAAGCAAAACTTGAACGTGAAATGGTTGCAGGAAGCGTGTGGTTTCTCGGCCCCTGGGGCCATTGGGCTGCCCTGGCTACTGGGGTCCAGTGTCCACAGGGTCACATGCCGCACCCTGGGAGACCTGTCCAGGTGGCTGAGCTGAGATCTGAAGCCAAGCAGGCAGACTGCAGAACCTCCAGTCTAATGTACTCATGCTGTTTGGGCCTTTGGCCTGAGGTCTTAGCTGTTTCCAACAGGGCACAGAGTCCTGCAGTGACAGTTGGCCAGGACAGAGGCAGGCAAGCAGGCCAGGAGGTGGCCCTGCTGAGGAGACCCTGTGATCTCCCAGCTGCTGGCAGGACTCGTGGAGTCTTCCAGGGACAGGCCCCACACAATGCAGCCCCACAGAGGTCCTGTCTGTCTGTCTGTCTGTCTGCTTCCTTTAATTGTGACAATAGGTGCAGTTTTGCTCATTTACTCTTGCAGTTCTGAGGACTGAATCCAGAACTCCTGCATGTTAGGTGAGAGAGCTACTGTTGAGCCATGCCTGCAGCCCTCAAGAGTTCTAGCAAATAGTTTTGGACCCTTTGTCAGAGCCCCTGGCACAAGAACCCTGGGGCCGTCAGCACCACTGTACCCAGCATCACGGTTATAACCATCACCACCACCAAAAACAGCCCTCATCCTTATCACCACCATCACCATCATCATAATCACCACCACCTCCACCATCACCGCCTCCACTGTCATCATCACCATCGCCATGGCCACCACATCTTCACACCAGTCCATCCCTCTGCCACCCTCAGCCCTCTCAACCCCTTTCTGCTCCTGTGGTCCCCTTGTGTCGGAACTGCCTCCAGCAGAGCCTGCTCAGAGTCACGTAGCCCCAGCTGTCTTCCTTTAGAGCCAACCTGTTCTTCCCACAGCCGTGGTGAGCTCTGGGACTCACGTTCCGGCTTCTGTGATGTGTATCCTTTGGTAGGTGCCTGGCACCATATCAGGAATGCCGTCAGTGTGACTTGTGTTTTGTCTAAGTGGCTCGGTCCAGCATGGCTGCCCCGTGAGAACAAGTCCTACGTGCCCATGGACACCTTCCGGCAGAGTGTGAGCCGCTCTGCAACTGTGGGCCTTCTGTACTTCCTGTACTTACCATGGCTCCCGTTCACTAGCAGACCTGGGCAGAGGTGTGGTGCTCCCAAGGGGCCCCTCCCAGTGCCATGCACCCTCTCCTGGCACCTGTCATACAACCAGGTGCTCCCACCTCACCACATTGGTGGGAGGACACTTGAATCTTGGCCCCTGCAGAGCTGTCTTTGTCTGATGGCTCCTCTTGCTTGCTGCACTTTAGGGAAGATCAGGTCAGATGCTCCACGGTGTCCAGTGTTGGTGGAACCCCGTCTGTCTGTAGAACGAAGGAACCCTGACCTCACTGAGGCAAGCATTCTTGGTGCCCAGAGAGTTGCCTGCTGACTTAAGCCCAAATCATGCAATGGTTCAGACTTCTGAAAAATCATACATAGTACCTCCGAGTGAGAAGCCTCCTAGGGAAAGTGCAAAGATTGTGGGTCCATGTTCAGGGGTACAAGTAACTGTAAACATCATTAAAACAAAGACAAATGAGTCAAAATTTTAGATTATGTAGCTGAAAATTCCGTATCAGGAACCAGGGACGGTTTGATCAAGGTACTAACTTGATTTCTCAGCTTTTTCTCTCAGTCTGTGGCCTTCTGTAATATTAGATTTGTTCTTGGGTTGGTAGACAGTGTCTTCCTCTCCCCTAAACCAGAATTTCTTGTTACAATCTTCAAAGAATGTAAACACCCCAGTAATCCTCACTGAGACCTGGGACTTTTGTCCAGGACCCAGAGCACTGGCTGTTTTCCTCCCTGCAGGGCCCTGCCCACAAGGGTTTCTTTGTTGACTATTGAAAACCCCTACAGCCCCACCCCTCCCACTCCACCCCCTTCCAGGAAGGGAACCAGCTTCCAGAATTAGTCACGCTGTCTGTATCCCACACAACAGCCCCATTGAAGCCAAAGGGCAGCCCTGCAGGGAGCTGGCTATTATTATCCCAGATGAACAGAAGGGGAAACTGAGGACCAGAGTGAGCAGCTGTACCTACAAGATGAGGGAGTGTCAGAGCTGCCTGGCTGTGAGTCCCTTCTTTCTCTACCTTACTTACCAGGCTTCCTGTGTTCTCTCCCAGGTGCCTGGCTTCAGGAAGGTGGAGGTTTGAGCCATATGCTGTGGGGTCTGGGACACAGTAATTCACAAGCGTGGTTCTCGGCTGCCCAGGAGATAATTTCTGAGCCCTGTCAAGCACCTATGCTCCTATGGGGCAGGTGGCAGCTCAGGAGATAGCCAAGCCCTTCCTCAGCTCCTTCCAGAAGGGAGAGAGACACAGTTAACAGCCAGGCACTAAACTGTGTGCCAGGGAGTGATGTCTTAGGCAGAAACGGGGCTTTAAAGGGCTGGAGGATATGGCTCCATTATGGGGACCCAAGTTCCGTCTTCAGCACTCATATTTAGAAAAACAAACTAACAGGGGCTGGAGAGATGGCTCAGCGGTTAAAAGCACTGAGTGCTCTTCCAGAGGTCCTGAGTTCAACTCCCAGCAACCACATGGTGGCTCACAACCATCTGTAACGGGATCTGATGCCTTCTTCTGATGTGTCTGAAGAGAGTGACAGTGTACTCATATACATAAAATAAATTAATTAATTTTTTTTAAAAACTAACAACAATAACAAAACAAAGGCATAGAGCTGGAGAGATGGCTCAGTGGTTAAGAACACATACTGCTCTTCCAGAGGACCTGGTGCCTGTGTCGGATGACTCACAATAGCTGTAACTCCAGTACCCGGGGATCTGAAACCCCTGGCCCCATGGGCACTTGCATTCATATATACATACACACACATGCCCATACTTAAAACAATAGAACCCAACACGATGGTGCATGTCTTTAATCCTAGCACTTGGAGGCAGAGGCAGGAGAGTCTCTGTGAGTCCAGGCTAGCGAGGTCGGCATAGTGAGACTCTATCTAAAAAAAAAAAAAAAAAAAAAAAAAAAAAAAAGGCGGCACTCGCTGGCCGGGCAGCATGGCAGCGGCGGGCGCCCCTCCGCCGGGTCCGCCTCAGCCACCTCCGCGCCACCTGAGGAGTCATCCGACAGCGAACCTGAGGCTGAGCCGGGCTCCCCGCAGAAGCTTATCCATAAGGTGTCCACGTCGGGCCAGATCCGGCAGAAGACCATCCTCAAAGAGGGCACGCTGACCAAACAGAGCAACTCGTTCCAGCGATCCAAGAGGAGGTACCTTAAGCTTCGAGGGCAAGCATTCTACTATGCTAAAACTGCAAAGTCGATGATATTTGATGAGGTAGACCTGACTGATGCCAGCGTGGCAGAATCCAGCACCAAAAATGTCAACAACAGTTTCACGGATTTGTTTCTTTGAACGTTGAAGGCAGAAAAGTTACAGCAGATCTGCTGAAATCAAGATTGTGGTAGAGGAAGTTTGAGGATTGTTTTAGTCGCTGTTGTGTTGCTGTGAAGAGACACTATGACTAAAGTCATCACTTCTTGTAGGAAGCTCGTCTTGTGTGAGGACAACAGGAAAGAAATGGAAGATTGGATTGCAGCACTCAAGACTGTCCAGAACAAAGAGCATTTTGAGGTTAAAAGAGAAGCATATTGTCTATGGGTGCCTGCTATTGCCTCTCTTGCCTTCCTCTGATCCACCCCACCCCTACCCCTCACCCCAGAGTATCTTTCAAGTAGACCCCAGAGTTTGTCTTGTAAAGTTGAGGTCCATGGCTCTTTCTTTTGATGGACCTGTCGAGGCTCTGGTCCTGTCGTTCGTGAATCTCTCTGGGGTACTTTATGTAATTCTAAGTTGCTGCATTAAAGAATTCCAAAGAGAAAAAAAAAGAAAAGAAAAGGAAAAAATAACAACAACAGGGGCTGGAGAAACGGCTCCGTGGTTAAAAGCACTGGCTTCACTTCCAGAGGACTCAGGTTCAATTCTCAGCACCCACATGGTGGGTCATCTCTGACTCCAGCTCTAGAGAATCTCATGCCTTCTTATGGCCTCCATGGGCAATGTATACACAATTGGTGCACATGCAAGCAAAATACACACACACATACACAAAGAAAAAGATTTCAAGGAAAACTTCGAACAACACTAGCAACAAAATAAAATAAATCTAAATTTTAAAAAAAGCTAGACAAGGTGTTACAGTCTAGGCATCTTGATTTAGTTGGTTTTCTCTGCCAGTCAAAGAGTTAAAAGACAGGAAAAGTCTCGTGCTCCAGAGTCAGAGTCAGCGGTGGAGAGACCTTGAGCCACAGAGTAGCAGAATCAGCAGTTGAAGAAAGGCTTTTATTGGGCGTGAGGAATCACTGATGCAGCAGGATTGTGGAGAAAAGGGTCCTCTGCAAAATCTCTCTTTGAGGCCTGGGGCTTTTTACGTCGGAAGAGTCTTCCTCCCTTAGTTAGGGCTAGTGGGTTTGAAGAAAGACAGGCTGGCTGATTTGGCTCAACTCTTGTGTAAACTGTTCTGATCTGGCCCTGAACTTATTGAGCAGGTCCGTCCTACTGGCAGGAGGAAAAAGCCCCAGCCAGACTTTTGTTTTAGCCGCCAGCTTTTGTCTCAGGTCTGGCGGAAGGTGAGGAAGTCGGCCATCTTGGAAGTTCATCCTCTTCCTTAGCTAGCCTCTCTCCTTATCTGTCTGCCTCCCAGGGAGTCTCCGTGAGCACCTGCTATCTGAGCCGGGGAAGAAGAGACAAGAACATC